ACATATTTCTAAAATAAATTGGATAACTTCAAAAAAACAACATTTTTTAAAAAGAGAAAGAAGGCTGAATTACATGATTAGAGAATCTAGGGAAAACTAAACAAAAGAAAGGATAAAGCTATTTTTTCCCTTTTCAAAAACTGTACATTTTATTTGAAAATGTAGATTTAAAAAATGTACATTTTGAAAATGTAGATATGCAAAAAAGAAGAAAACTCACCTATCACCACCTACGACTAAATCAACAAACTCCAGACATAACCATTGTTAAAATTTATTATATCATGTCAGACTATTTTTCTGTTCATTTATACTGATATATACTAATAAGATCACCCTATGCATAAAGTTTGTAACTATTTTTTTCTTGTGGTCATATATTTTAAAACATTTTCATGGTATTATAAAAGTAATGATCATTTTTAATAACTATATAATAATTCATTGTAAGAATTATATTCCATAATTAAGTTAAATAATATCTTACTGTTAAGAGTTTTATATTGCTTTTCATTTGTTAAATTATAAATAATGCTCCACTAAGCATTCTTTATCTTATTATTACCTTAGGATAAATCCTAAAACTGGAATTGCTGGGTTGAAGTATATGTTTATTTCTTGGGTTTTTTATATAAAACGTCAAAATACCCTCCAGAAAGAATCAAACAAATAAATATATTTAGTATAGATATACATACACACATAAATAACACATTAAGTAACTCATAAAAATCTAAATATTAAGTAACTCATAAAAATCTAAATGATAACTGTATAAAAGGATATATTACAGGGTTAATACAAACCTTGCAAAAAGAAAAGAAATGATTGCATAAATGAATTCCAAATACTTTTGTGGAAATACACAAGGCAGAAAATGAAACAAAAAAAAAATCGATAATTCAATGAATGAAAGTTAAGTGTTTGAATAGTATTTATAACTAGTTATTCTAAAAGAATCAGTCTAGAACATTAAGAGATAATATCATCACACATATGATTCATATACTGTCAACATTGTTGCCGCAGCAAAGTGGCAGACATAACCCAACAGTAATTTTTTTTTTTTTTTTTTTGAGATAGAGTCTCGCTCTGTCACCCAGGCTGGAGTACAGTGGCACAATCTTGGCTCACCACAAGCTCTGCCTCCCGGGTTCATGCCATTCTCCTGCCTCAGTTTCCCGAGTAGCTGGGACTACAGGCACCTGCCACCATGCCCGGCTAATTCTGCTTTTGTATTTTTAGTAGAGATGGGGTTTCACTATGTTAGCCAGGATGGTCTCAATCTCCTGACCTTGTGATCTGCCCACCTCTGCCTCCCAAAGTGCTGGGATTACAGGCGTGAGCCACCGCGCCTGACCCCCAACAGTAATTTTAAATGAAGAAGATGCTTAGAAAGAGTCAGAAGAATAAATTACCTGAGATTTTTAAGAAATGTAATTTTTTCTGTTATACTATTCTCTTTTGGTATCACCTGCATTATAGTTTACTGTTTCATCTCCAAATTCAAGGTATATTTTCTGCAGTAGAGTAAGCATTGCCCATTTCAGAACTCAAAAGGAATTATCAAGCATCTCACTAAGTCTTCCTTCAAGTGCCCTCTGAGGACAACCTGCATAAAGACAACTAGGAAACTTCCTAAAAATACCACTCCACAGAGCCTCATTCTCTGAGATTTTGATTCTCCATATTGCAAATAGTACCCAATAATGTGTATTTTTGCAATACCCAGATGATACTTATGAATGCTGAAATTTAGGTAACTTGGTTTACTGTTGTAATGATTGAATAGGGCATTACATCATGAAAGGGCATTATCCTCAGGCGAACATCCAGACAGTAAGGAATGGAAACTCAGGTAATTATTCTTGTCTCTTTCTACTTATACAGCAAGGATTTATCTCCTGAACCTGTCTATTTCTTTCCATCTCCATTGCTACTTCCCTATTATTCAGGCCAACGTCATCATTTTCTTGTACTACAACAGCTCCTAATTAGCCATCCTGCCTCTAGTGTACCTCTACTCTAATCTGTCCTCTATGATGATCTTAGAGTATGCTTCCCCCAAAATGCCAAATCTAATAAGGTAACTATCTAAAATAGATCAGTGACTCATCATTGCCCATAAGATAAACTCCAAACTATTGTGGCCATACTAAACTTTTAATTTTTCTAATAAACCATGATTCTTCACCTTTGTTTATTCTATTCCTTCTCTCAAATCACTGTTCCTTTGACCTCAAAGCAGTATTTCCAACATTTGAATACTACCATGTTACTACACACCATCCATGGCTCTCTACCGACTAATGTACTCAATTTCCAACTTCACTGTTTCAGCTGTTCAAAGAAAATCTTATACTAGATGCTCAAACAGTATAACCAGAGCTGCTCTGGTTGCAGGTAGTGAGAGAGATCAGGGGCTCAACTCCCTCACCTCTCTTCTACCCCACAGCAACCCCAAAGGAGGCTCCACAAAACAGAATTAGATTTTAAAAGACTGAAATCTGGATTCTGTTGCATGGCAAACACTTTAGTCCATCTATCTTTTCTGTATTATCTCCTCATATTATGCCATGAAAATTTTACCGACACTGCACAAAAAGCACCATATTCTTTTGTACTTTGATTTGCAAGAGGTTTCTTTTGCCTGCAACTCTCTGGCCCAATGTTGTCTCCTTGGAGAACTACTAATTCTTCAAGGCTCTGCTCTCTAGTCAATGTCCCACAAGCTGAGTTAGGCTCTTCCACACCTTTGCAGTGCTTGTATAAAAACCTTCCCATATATCACTTATCATAATGCACTGTAAGTACTATAGTCTAATTCTCCACTACACTGTCAACAACTTGAGTGAAAGTCTTTATATCTTTTTCTTATTTATATCCCCAGTTTCTAGAACACAGTCTGATGAGTAGTATATATTTAATGTCTATTGAATAAAAGATAGATGCTAACATTCTAAATAAAAAGACTAGGTGCTTAATGAGATAAACCTTTAATTCAAGCTTTTAAAATTTTTAAATATTTTAATCAAAATGACAACCTAAAATTATGTTTAAATTGGCTTATTAATAAACTGTTAAGTATCTACTGTGTTGCACAAATAACAGAGAATTACTGAACTATGGGATTTTGACAATGTAAGAATGTAATACATTGTGAAAATGAGACTATATATTCTATAGATTTAGAATCATTGATAGGGAAAATCAGAAGTAAAATCTCCTTAAGTGATTAGATGGGATGATTCAACATCCTGATGCTGTAATTGAGAAAGGAGGGACCTAGCAGAAAAGAAATTAGAAAAACATACAAACAAACTTAGAGTCAATGGAAGGCAAGATCAAAGGAAGTCAAACATGAGATGGACCTTTAAGAATGAGCGGAACTGGGGCCGGTGTAGTGGCTCACGGTTGTAATCCCAGCACTTTGGGAGGCTGAGGTGGGCGGATCACGAGGTCAGGAGATCGAGACTATCCTGGCTAACACAGTGAAACCCCGTCTCTACTAAAAATACAAAAAATTAGATGGGCGTGGTGGCCGGCGGCCATAGTCCCAGCTACTCAGGAGGCTGAGGCAGGAGAATGGCATGAACCCTGGAGGCGGAGCTTGCGGTGAGCCGAGATCTCGCCACTGCACTCCAGCCTGCGTGACAGAGCGAGACTCCATCCCCGCCCCCCCAGAAAAAGAATGAGTGGAACTCGCTATGGTCTAAGACAGAAATCAAAGTATTCCATGAAATGAGAAAACGAGTAGGGATGTTAGTAAGAGGCAGGAAAGGTTCGAGAGTCAATGTTCAACGTGATTTGAACACACTTAGAGAGTTGCGGGTGAAAAGACTGAATGGATTTTATGACACCAGGTTTCAAACATTTTCTAAAGCCAGGCAGAGGACTTCATATTTATGTGGTAGAAAACAAGTAACTAGAAATCTTAACAGATTAAAAGCTCTAAAAAGTCTGTCTTATTCTGCGTTAGAGGCAAATAAGCCACAGAACAATTACATGATTTCCCAGTTAGGAACAGTATAAAACAGCCACACTTACCACATAATGCTGCTGCTTTTGGGGTACTTCAACCAACAATTCATTCAAGTACAATGGGTAAATGCTGCTGAGGTTGGCTATTTCCCTAAGTTCTAAACAGAATTTGTATGAAGGAGGGCATATTTTCTTGTGAGGAAAAATTCTTGCATGTATTCAAATATTAATCCTTGACAAAGAAAAATATGTCCTTTGGTTATTTATTTATTTATTTAGAGACAAGGTCTAATTCTTACCCAGGCTGGAGTACAGTGGCACAATTATAGCTCGCTACAGCCTCCACCTCCTGGGCTGCAGCGAGACTCCCACCTCAGTCTTCCCAGTAGCTGGGACCACAGGTATGCACCTTCATGCCTGGCTAATTTTTAAAAATTTTTTGTAGAGACAGAGTTTCACTATGTTACCCAGGCTGGTCTCAAACTCCTGGGCTCAAGCAATCCTCCCTCCTTGGACTCCAAAAGTGCTGGGATTACAGGCATGAAACACCACATCCAGTCATGTCCTCTGGTCTTAAAATGACTGCTTTTCAAATGCACTATTAATTCCTTACACAAAATATGCAATCGAGATTTCGTATGAAACATATTGACAGCAAAAAACAAAAAAAAGTTTATGAGCTAGTCAGTGAAAGGTTAGAAAGAAAGGTTTAAAACTGAATTTTCCATTTTGAATGGGCATAAATTTTAATATTTTAAATATTTCATCCTTCACAATCATGCTCAAAGTAAGTATTTCCAGAAAGACAAATAGTAGAGAACGTGCCCATTCTTCAAACTTAAACAGATTTTGGTCCCATATATCTTGTATTGATTGAACCAGTATATTAAGAAGACAAATCAGAAAGATTCAACCAAATGCATCCATTGAAAATGTTTTTTAAAGATTGAGAACCATGTGTGTTGTGCATTACCACATTTATGACAGCACATCTGTGATTGCTCACCACTATAACTTACCCCAGTTTTATCACACAAGCGTAAAGTATGAAATGATCCAACAGCAAATAATTCTCCATCTGGAGCCCAGGCAACTGAAGTAATAGGATGCTCATGAGGTTGTGAATTGTACAGTGGGCGGCCGTAACTATCCCATACCTACAAAAGCAATTTTTAAAAATCTTTTATAATATCAGGGAGAAGTTTACCAAAACTAAAAGAAAAATAAATAAATAAAAATGTTTTATAAGAGACACCACATAAAAACAAGTTTGTCTTCCAGCAAGGTAGTAAATAAAAATTTAGAAATCAGCACCTTATATATTAGCAATTAAATGTCTTTACTATCACACGAGGGGAAAACAAAGCTGTATTCCTTTAAGCCTAAATATTTCAAAAAGAAACTATTTTATAACACTGTCATAATTTTCAGATTTTACTAAATCTCTGAACATAAAATCTACCCACTTTAAGTCTTTTAAATATAATAGTACTTTTTGAAATGTTTACTTCTTAGCTTTGTTTTGTTTTTTGAATTTTAGAGACAGGGTCTCACTCTGTGGCCTAGGCTGGAGTACAGTAGCATGATCATAGCTCACTGCAGTCTCGATCTCCTGGGCTCAAGAGATCCTCCTGCTTTAGTCTCCCAAGTAGCAAGGATTACAGGTACATGCTGCCACACTTGGCTAATTTTTTAATTTTTGTAGAGACAGGGTCTTTTTATATTGCCTAGGCTGTTCTCCAGCTCCTGGTCTCAAGTAACCCTACTGCCTTGGCCTCTCAAAGCACTGGGATTATAGGTATGAGCTACCATACCTAGCTTGCTTACCATTTTGCCTAAATTTTTTTCTCCCTGTAAGGGCTCTACCTACTTTCTCTAAAAGTATTTATTTCAATTTAATTGTGTCTAACTCTAGTTATTAATACATTAAACCTTATTCCTCTCTACAAATTATTTTGACCTGAAATTGATCAATATTTAGTAAACCAGCAGGGTTGATTTTTAAAAACATACTGAATTGACTTAAAGTGAGTCATGGTAAAATTACAGGCTATACTGATATTGTTAGTTATTAAATATCAAACTCTATAGATCAACGAGATCCTCTTTCTTTTTTTGAGAGAGAGAGGGTCTCACTTTGTTGCCCAGGCTGGAATGCAGTGGCACAATTATGGCTCACTGCAGCCTCGACCACCTGCACTCAAGTGATCCACTCAACTCAGCCTCCCAAGTAGCTGGGACCACAGATGTGCTCCACCACAACTGGCTAATTTATTTTTGTAGAGGTAGGGTCTCACTGTGTTGTCCAGGCTAATGAGATAGTCTTTTTAAAGTCCATGCTTTAAAATACCACTTAACATTATAAAATAATTTGCTAAATTACTGGAGTATAAAGACATGGCTAAAGTAAAAAACTAAAAGAATATTCTTACATGCTAAGTACTTATAAATTTGATTCTTTCAGCCAAGTGATAAATCTAAACATTACATACCTTATATTTACAGTCTTCACCAGCAGATAAAATAAGATCATTGACTGAGTTCCAATCTACTTTTAAAATAATGCCATCATGAGCTTTCCACTGTGAGAAAAAAATAAGATATTAATTATAACTTTAAAAGCACTTAAGTTTTTTTCTATAAGAAAATATATTTTGCCTCTTTCTAATGACTCCCTTGTCATCTTCTCAAGGATTCCTATCTTCCTTTTATAGCCATTGTACAATACCTCATTTGCTTCTTTCATTTGTAATTTACACTAACGCAAGCACCTAGCACCTAAGACATCCACTATACAGCTTCAAACCTTATGAATTTCCTCAGTTGCCTGGACTCCAGATGGAAAATCACTTGCTGCTAAACTATTTCAAGATTGACATTTGTATGATAACACTGAATGAATATGTTATGCATTCCAAAAATGTCAACTGAATCCAAATCTTGCTTTCTCCTTCATACAGCAGATGCCATTACTCATATTGCCTTCATGCTTGTTTATTTATTTATTTATTGAGCAGGGTCTCACTGTCACACAGGTTGGAGTTCAATGATGTGATCAGGGCTAACTGCAGTCTCCACCTCCCACACTCAAGCAATCCTCTTGCCTCAGCCTCCCGAGTAGCTGGGATTACAGGCACGTGTCACCACACCCAACTAATTTTTTTTTTTTTCATTTTTGGTAGAGAACTCTTGCTTTGTTGCCTAGGCTAGTCTCAAACTCCTGGGCTCAAGTAATCCTCCTGCCTTGGCCTCCCAAAGTGCTGGGATTACAGGTGTGAGCCACCATGTTCGGCCCCCCTAACCATTTTTTTAAAAAAACTTCTGCACAAACATCTTTAATACCCTCTTCATTTCATTCTGTTCATCATATTCTTCTAAGTTTCATTCACTTTATCTTCATGTGTCTGGTTTATAACTGGAGTACTCTGAGAAACTTTTGCTGTATTTACCATGTAACAAAAAGATGTTTTCCATAGATAAGTATATATTCTATGTATATAATCATTCTTTGGTATCTGTAGGGGATTGGTTCCAGTACCTCCCACTGATATGAAAATCATAAGTTCCTAATATAAAATGGCACAATATTTGCATACAACCTACGCATATTCTCCCACATACTTATAATCGTCTCTAGATTACTTACTATAGAAATAAAATGGCAATACTATGTAAATAATTGTATTGTTGGGAATAATGACAAGAGCAAAGTCTATACACGTTCAGCACAGATGCTATCTTTTTTAATATATTTGATTCATGGTTAGTTTAATCTATCAGTGCGGAACCCATGGTTACGCTGAATGTACATACTATGCATAGACATGGGTGTTTATAAGTCATGCAGAAACTAGCAATCCAAACAGTAAACATGGATGTCTTGCTCTTAAATGTAATTCATGGGCCCATTTGGCTATTATCTAACATGTAATTAAATGCTACCATAGGCAGAATAATGAAACTAAAAAGAATTAACCTTCTTTTAAGACTATAAGTATATTTTAATGTCTGAGTCAACTGACTTCACATCAAAGGGTGGCAGATTTTAAGGGCTTTACCCTCAGGCCCTGCCCAATCTATTGTTCTTATTGTATACAGTACAAAGTATTAAATGTGGGCCAAATAAACTCTAAGAATAAGCAACAATTCGTAACTTGCTATATTCAAAATATACAAAAATATACATTTTCAAAAACAAATGTTTTGATAACACATGTTAAAAAGCAATAGTTTTCACAATTAACTGCCAAATTAATCCAATGTCCTGAAATACACGACAAGGACAAATGTAACAATATATACAGCTACACATATACATACAGATTCTTTTTTGTTTTTCTTTTTTTGAAACAGAGTCTTACTCTGTCATCCAGGCTGCAGTGCAATGACCCGATCTCGGCTCACTGCAACCTCCGCCTCCCAGGTTCAAGCTATTCTCATGTCTCAGCCTCCCAAGTAGCTGGGACTACAGGTGCCCACCACCACACCCACCTAATTTTTATATTTTTAGTAGAGATGGGGTTTTGCCATGTTGGTCAGGTTGGTCTTGAACTCCTGACCTCAGGTGATCCACCTGCCTTGGCCTCCCAAAGTGCTGAGATTACAGGTATGAGCCACTGTGCCCAGCCACGGATTCTTAAGAGTTTCACTTTAAAGGAACAAAATAAATATTGCATATTCAAGATTTATGAATAAAATGAGATTTAAATTTTCCTCACACTGTAATTTAGGGTATCAACATATATTACAAATATTTGCATATTGTTATACATACAATAATTTTTATTTATTTCTTAATTTATTAGGCATTTTGTAAAGTTCCTTTGAACAACAAGCTCCTTGAAGGCAGAAACTATGTTCTGTTTCATTTTGACTATCTCATACCTACCACAGTGCCTGGTATATAATAGGTATGCACTACATTTTTATTCAATGAATAAATAAAAATTTCCTTAGTATAAAACCAAGTTCTAGGTGTCAAGAAGGCTTTAAAGGAAATGAGGTATATACTTCTGAACTGCATTCCACAAGCAAGAATTAATTAAGCACACTTTTTTGTGTACAATCCTAATTTGAATATGTTTTTATGCTCAAAAAGAATTGCAACTGCTTTAGTCTCCCAAAAGGAATAGATAATTTGCATGAAGTTACTAATTATACTTTAAGTCCTGTTCCTCTCTAGCTAATTTTGGCAATGGATACTTTGCTTCTCTCTGCTACCTCCTGGCCCAAAGGTTCTATTGAACCACTAAACCATATTTTACTTGACCAACGGTGATATAACCAGCTTCCTGAGTTTCATTTATACAAGCTAATGACAGGTATCTAAACAAATTCACAGGGACACCATTCCAAGATGGCTGAATAGGAACAGCTCTGGTCTGCATCTCCCAGTATGATCAACACAGAAGATGGGTGATTTCTGCATTTCCAACTGAGCTCTGAAGACAGCAGTGGTTTTCCCAGCACAGCGTTTGAGTTTTGAGAATGGACAGACTGCCTCCTCAAGTGGGTCCCTGACCCCCATGTAGCCTAACTGGGAGACACCTTCCAGTAGGGGCCAACTGACACCTCACACAGGCAGATACCCTTCTGGGACGAAGCTTCCAGAGGAAGGATCAGGCAGCAATATTTGCTGTTCTGCAATGTTTCCTATTCTGCAGCCTCTGCTGGTGATACTCAGGCAAACAGGGCCTGAAGTGGACCTTCAGCAAACTCCAACAGACCTGCAGCTGAGGGTCCTAACTGTTAGAAGGAAAACTAACAAACAGAATGGAACAGCATCAACATCAACAAAAAGGACAACCACACCAAAACCCCATCTGTAGGTCACCAACATCAAAGACCAAAGAGAAACCAGAGCAGAAAAGCTGAAACTTCTAAAAACCAGAGCACCCCTTCTCCTCCAAAGATTCGCAGCTCCTCGCCAGCAATGGAACAAAGCTGGACAGAGAACGACTTTGACGAGTTGACAGAAGTAGGCTTCAGAAGGTCAGTAATAACAAACTTGTCCGAGTTAAAGGAGCATGTTCTAACCCATCCCAAGGAAGCTAAAAACCTTGAAAAAAGATTAGATGAATGGCTAACTAGAATAAACAGCGTAGAGAACACGTTAAATGACCTGACGGAGCTGAAAACCATGGCACGAGAACTACGTGACACATGCACAAGCTTCAGTAGCCGATTTGATCAAGTGGAACAAAGGGTATCAGTGATTGAAGATCAAATTAATGAAATAAAGTGAGAAAAGAAGTTAAGAGAAAAAAGAATAAAAAGAAACGAACAAAGCCTCCAAGAAATATGGGACTATGTGAAAAGACCAAATCTCCGTTTGATTGGTGTACCTGAAAGTGATGGGGAGAATGGAACCAAGTTGGAAAACACTCTTCAGGGTATTATCCAAGAGAACTTCCCCAACCTAGTGAGGCAGGCCAACATTCAAATTCAGGAAATACAGAGAACACCACAAAGATATTCCTCAAGAAGAGCAACCCCAAGACACATAATTGTGAGATTCACCATGGTAGAAATGAAGGGAAAAAAGTTAAGGGCAGCCAGAAAGAAAGGTCGGGTTACCCACAAAGGGAATTCCATCAGACCAACAGTGGATCTCTCAGCAGAAACTCTACAAGCCAACAGAGAGTGGGGGCCACTATTCAACATTCTTAAAGAAAAGAATTTTCAACCCAGAATTTCATATCCAACCAAACTAAGCTTCATAAGTGAAGGAGAAATAAAATCCTTTACAGACAAGCAAATGCTGAGAGATTTTGTCACCACCAGGCCTCTCTTACAAGAGCTCCTGAAGGAAGCGCTAAACATGGAAAGGAACAACCAGTACCAGGCACTGCAAAAACATGCCAAATTCTAAAGACCATCGATGCTAGGAAGAAACTGCATCAATTAATGGGCAAAATCACCAGCTAACATCATGTCAGGATCAAATTCACACATAACAATATTAACCTTAAATGTAAATGGGCTAAATGCCCCAGTTAAAAGACATAGACTGGCAAATTGGATGAAGAGTCAAGATCCATCAGTGTGCTGTATTCAGGAGACCCATCTCACATGCAGAGACACACATAGGATCAAAATAAAGGGATGGAGGAAGATCTACCATGCAAATGGAAAGCAAAAAAAAAGTAGGGGTTGCAACCCTAGGCTCTGATAAAACAGACTTTAAACCAACAAAGATCAAAAGAGACAAAGAAGGCCATTACATAATGGTAAAGGGATCAATTCAACAAGAAGAGCTAACTATCCTAAATATATATGCACCCAATACAGGAGCACCCAGATTCATAAAGCAAGTCCTTAGAGACCTGCAGAGAAACTTGGACTCCCACACAATAATAATGGGAGACTTTAACACCCCACTGTCAATATTAGACAGATCAACGAGACAGTAGGTTAACAAGGATATCCAGGACTTGAACTCAGCTCTGCACCAAGCGGACCTAATAGACATCTACAGAACTCTCCAACCCAAATCAACAGAATATACATTCTTCTCAGCACCACATCACACTTATTTCAAAATTGACCACATAGCAGGAAGTAAAGCACTCCTCAGCAAATGTAAAAGAACAGAAATCACAACAAACTGTCAGACCACAGTGCAATCAAATTAGAACTCAGGATTAAGAAACTCACTCAAAACCACACAACTACATGGACACTGAAAAACCTGCCCCTGAATGACTATGGCCTGCATAACAAAATGAAGGCAGAAATAAAGATGTTCTTTGAAACCAATGAGAACAAAGATACAACATACCAGAATCTCTGGGACACATTTAAAGC